AAGTCTTACTGTTCTGATGGAACTTATTGTTTGCTCAACTACATTAGCTGCTTTAGAATAAGCTTTTTGTGAAAGCGAAGCTTTTCTAGACATGAAGAGGTACATGGTACCAATAACTATCGCCAGTGGAACAATGGGTGATAGCATAACAATTGCTAGAAGCCACCCCTTGATAAACGCAGTAACAAATCCTCCTATTACCATTGCCATGCTCCTTATGAGCCTCCCCACCTGAGCATAAGCAAAACTTTTTTATATAACATATCCATATCCAAAACTTGTTTCTTTTTTACATTTTCAACAACACTCTCGTACCTTCTCGCCCATAGCATCTTGTATGACAAAAATGTCACCAGACATTTTCGCAATAACTTCCCCTGTATTCACTTCCGTATCAAAGAAACTGACGTCTTGTCGCACAGTACTTCTTAAATACAATACCTTTAGTCGTGACACTTGTCGCTCTGCAGTAAGCGTCCAACAAGACACCTCTAACAAAACAAATAACACAAAAAATTTAGCAACTTAGAAAAACAATTAGCACAAACAAAAAATAGTTAGTTAAGACTTACGAAGCAATGATGCTACACCTGCAGCCATGCCCAAATAAACCATTTTTAATGATACCTGAAAAATAACAATGCTTAACAAGAGTCATGATTGTTCATAATATACACATTCTGAAGGATTAGCAACAACAATGTATATGATAACGAATAACAATAGATTAATCATTTCAGGTTTCTTCTTTGGGAAGTTTCATCAAACACCTTCTCTACATAGTTTCATCCATCACATTGTCTACATTGTTAAGGTATTACTAGAGTCACCCATGTTTCATAAACAACATCTCTATCTCCGAACTACTAGGGGATGTTAAATGTGGCATAGCTAAAATTTTCACGAACGAGTTCAAAATCGAACTAACCAAAAGGAGTTCAACATATATAAAAGAAAATATCTTTTAGCCATATATGAATAGTAATTTTTCGTTCGAAGGGGGTTCGAATGACCCTTGACCACAAAGCGAATATACACTCAAACTTCCTCATATATCTCTTTTTATCGAATATGTTATTGTTATAAATAGTTAAAGTAAGTTTCAATAAACACGACATAATTTACTATAAAATCAATAAATATGAAATATTTTAGGTGTATTTTTTTATAATGAACTCTTTAACTTTTTTTTATTTTGACCCTCTCAATTATACTATTCATCTTATATGTTTATGGGAAAAGAGTCTCAACTTTGTCATTTTGAATCTGATATATCCCTCGTTATAAAAATGGCTCATATATGCTCGTATCGTTATACAAACGGCTCACATATACCCCTGTCGTTACAAAATGGCTCACATATACCCTTCATTTAACGGAAGTTTTTAGTTTTAAATTTATATTTATTACTTCTAATTTTTTTAAAAAAATTATTTAGGGGTATATATGATTCTTCTATCAAAGTTCAAGGTATATTTTAATTTTTTTTTATACATAAATTATTTTTTGACTTCTTTTATTATAATTATTTGAATTTCTTATTCTTATTTTGTTTTTTTATTTCATTCCTTAGTTTAAAGAATAAAAAATTAAACTATTTTTTTTGTGTATTGTAATTTAATTTCGTATTCGAAGAAAAAATATGGTCATCTACAATAAGTTTTACAAGAATATTAGTGAAACATAAATAAATTTGATTATCAAAATAATAATTATAAATTAGTCATTGAAACAAAAAAAAAGTCAAAAAAATATGTTTGACGAGTATTAAATTTACTCATATGGGATTATATTTTTTAGAAAAAAATAATAAAAATTTAGATTAAAATTATTTTTTTTTCATTTCCGTTAGATCAAAAGGGTATATGTGAATCATTTGTTTACAAGTAGGGGTATATATGAGTCACTTTCATAACAAGGGGTATATCAGCTCTAAATGACAAAGTTGAGGGGTATATCAGACCCTTCTCCCTATGTTTATTTATTTAGTTATATTTTCAACACGCTCACTCATATATCAGTCTTAATTTTCCTTTTCCCCGAGACCTTGCTTGTTTTGATTCCATAATGTAGTTACTTTTTTTAAAAAAAAAACTATTTACTTAATTATATTTTTAACACGATCTATTACATTCGAACTATAAACTTTTACGTGATTCAAAAGTGAATAGGGAAACTATATAAAAGAAATTGATTCATTCATCAGACTCATAACCTAAAGATTGCAGGTTCAAATCACGTTATTATTCCAGCCTAATCATTAAAACATTGTTCACAAGGGAACTAAGTGTCAAATAAATGACTATAAATACAAACACAAAGCGCGAAGACAGTTTTACTAGTAATCTAATGGTAACATAAATTTATGAAAATAAATTACCTTGGAAACTTGTTGAAGCACCCCTGAACTTTGATTTTGTCCAAATGAGTCCACCAAATCTCCAAAGAACACAGGCAAAATAACTAAAGATAGTCCATTGCCAAAAGCACCTATTGCTCCCAAAAACATCAATATTTTGTCAGTATTATCAGCAAATGAAAAGAGTTTGTAAAGTGAAATAGTTTTAGTGTCAATATTTCTCTCTTTCTTAATTTCATTTGATTTTTCTGACATTTTTTCACTAAATATTGAAGAGGACCCTTCAAAACTATTGTTGTTATTAGTCACTTTTTTGGTCCTCTTGAGAAATTAATTGTTGATCTAACAAGTAATAGATATATTTGTAGAGGGGATTTAATCTATTAAAATGGAATAATTAAATAAGAACCTAGATGCTTTGCACGTTTTGAGATTTTTTTCTTCAAGGATATATAAAAGATCAATTAGTTGGCTAATGAATCACAAAATATATATATGGCAGCTGTGAAGTTCTTTAGTTTATTAATTGATCAACAATTAGTTTGGTTACAACTGATATTTTATATGTTTTTATAACTTTTATCGAGCATATAAATATTAGACATTTAAATTTGTGTAAAATTGAAAAAAAACAGACAAGATATTCATCCTATGTTGCATCTTAGATGGCAATTCGTGTTATACTAATATTACGTCTTGTAAGATGTGTATGTTTACTTATTTAATTTTACACAAATTTATGTGTCTATTTGTGTACATTCAAAATTGAAGGACTTGGATGTCAACCGAAGACAGTACGTATTATATCATAGTTATGTATTTTGTGTTTTTTTGAAAATGTAAAGATCGATATTCGTGAGGGGATTGTTGGATTCCGTAAGGTGTGGATTAAAATTGAGTATGTGTTTTCTCAAAACGATGTAATATGAATACACATTTTCACATTGAATATGTTTGTGATTTTCTGATGAAAGAGCGATTACATCTGTTCACACTATTCTTTATTGAATATAAATATTTACTGCTTCCTCGAATTTTAACTTACGAAAATTTTATATTACTCTATTTTTGAAAGATTTAAATTTGATTTGACTACATTTTAGTATTCATTATACGCAACATAAATGTGTTTGATCTATTTCATCTCGAAAGAAAATAATCATATACCTCAAATACTAAGAAGGGATTAAGTTTTTTAAAATAAATAAATAAATTTAGTAAACTTGTTTTTTTATTTTTTTATTTTTTATCTTTTTACTTAAATTGATATATCAACTCACAGACTTGCACGTTGTTTAATTAAATTTATTTAAATAGAGCAAGCAAGCACGTCATGCAATAAATTAATTACTTTCTTGATGTTTAAATTACAACATGATTTTTTTAAAAACAATTAGCCTAAATCTTTAATATGATTGATTATATTCTCTTAAATATTCAAAATCAAATTATTTATTGAAACAAGAAAGCACGTCATTTCCTCTAAATTTAATAAAATTATTATACTGATGGTCAACAATTTTTTTTATATATTTTCCTATCACATGGCTGTACTTTTTAATTCAATTTTATAGCTACAATTAAAATCTGGAATAATATAATAATTAGCAACAAATTTTCAAAGATCTTATCTCAAATTTATATATCGAATTTCAATTTTTTCCTCCCTTTTAATTTTATACTATTATTTATCAAAATAAAAGAACGTGCCAAGTATAATTTGCACTGCTTTTTTAGTTTAATTTTGTAATTTAACGTGTTGCCATTACAAAATTGTTTTTCATACTATTATTAATACGAAATTTCGAATAATAACATGGGGATAAAATTCTTTAAGAATACACCGTTGGATTCATAAATAATTTAGTTTTAGAGATAATGATTAATTTTTTTAAAAAAATATTACTTTTTTTGTGAATTTTTTACATGAACTATTTATTCTTCGTATTTCAAAATCTGAAGTAGATATGATCATTAACTATTTATTAAAATAATTTCAAAGTTAATTAAATTAAGCGTTTAAATATAATCGTCAAAAGATCTGTAACTTAATTTACACATAAAATTTCGTCCATATATATTGATTAACTCATTAATTTCTAGATGTATTATAATAAATAATTGATGATATTATGTAAGAACCTTGCAAAACAAATGATACCTTGGATGTTTATAATCTATTATTAAAAAAAAATAAAAAATCTTCAATTCTTTATTTTTAAACACAAAGAGGAAGTGTTTACCGCATCATCAAATATATATCGAGACGTATTTTAATAAATTGTTGGTGATAATTTAAGAGGAAAAAAATAGTGATATTTTCAATTTTGGCCCAAATCTCTTAGCATTACTATTTTATTAATTACAAATAGATGCAGAAAATAACTAATTAGTCAACATCTACAGCTCATCTAAAGCTTCTCCAGGTGTAATTTATACTCCATCTGTCTCAATTTATATGACTTATTTTTTAATTAATTTTTTTTAAAATGGATACGTTTCTATATTAAAATAACAATTTCATTTTAAAATATTCATTTTAAATCATAAATTTTATTTTTCCTGTGTTAAATCAAACAAACTCGTTAATTATTTTGCTAGCCTATATAATTGTGATTATGGAAGTGTAAAAGACACATTCAAAAACTTTTTTTGATAGCTAAAATGGCATCATCAACCATTCTTTCTAGGAAAATGATTAAACTTTTATCCCCAACTCCATCTTCACTTAGACATCACAAATTATCTTTCATGGATTGCATAAACCTTCCTCAATATTCCCCATTTGCCTTCTTATACCCTAAACCTAAAAATCATACCAAAACACAAATATCACAAATTCTTGAAAACTCCCTTTCAAAAGTACTATCCTCTTATTATCCCTTCGCGGGACGAATCAAGGATAATAACACCTACGTCGATTGCAATGACATTGGTGTTGAGTATTTAAATGTCAGAATAAATCATTCGATGTCCGATATTCTCAATAGCCGCTGTAATGATGTTGCGGATATAGTCTACCCAAAAGACTTGCCTTGGAGTAGTAGCGTGAATCGAAGTCCACTAGTGATTCAGTTAAGTCATTTTGATTGTGGTGGAATAGGACTTGGTGTGTGTTTGTCACACAAAATTGTTGATGGATATTGTATAGCTAAATTCATTAGTGATTGGGCCAATACAGCTCGAGACATGGATTTCAAACCATCAATTAAATTCAATGCATCTACATTTTTTCCACTAATCGAGGGTGCACCAAATATTATGTCTATAAATAGTTCTCCTCAATCACAACGATACGTGTCAAGAGCCTACAATTTCTCATCCTCGAACTTAAAAAGACTCAAAAGGAGCATTACCGGAGTTCAAAATCCAACTCGCGTTGAAGTTGCGACGTCACTTATTCATAAATGTGGGGCGATTGCGTCGATGAAAAATTTGGGCTCGTTTAAACCATCTTTGATAAGCCAGGTAATAAATTTACGCCCTTTAATTCCGCTAGACACGATGGGAAATGCGACGTGTATCTATAGCATAATAGCAACGACGGAAAACGAGATAGAGTTGCCTAACTACGTCGCTCAGATGCAAAATGTTAAACAACAAATTCGAAACGAGTTGAAGAATCTAGATACGGATAAGATAGTTCCATATACACTTGAAAAAGTGAGAGGCATTGTAGACATAATGGAGAAGGATATATTTGATATTTATTTATCAACAAGTGTACACAATTTTGGACTATATAGTAAGGCTAATTTTGGATGGGGCAAGCCTATAAAAGTTTCTAATACAAAATATCCAACTAAGAAAAGTATCATGCTTTTTGATGACCCAAGTGAAGAAGGGATAGATGCACAAATCACCTTAACAGAAGATGAAATGGCAATTTTTCAAGAGGACAAAGAGCTTCTAGAGTTTGCTTCTCCAATGGTTCAATCAACAAAATAAATTTTTTAAGGGTGTCTTACGTTATTTTATTTCTTATTTTGAGAATGTTTTACAAGTTTGATTTATATTTCAACTTATTTCTTTTGTAATTTTGATGAATTTGATTTCGATTTACCATACTAGCTTAGGTTTAGTATTTCGATTTATGCAATCCATGAAAGATAATTTGTGTTGTCTAAGTGAAGATGGAGTTGGGGATAAAAGTTTAATCATTTTCCTAGAAAGAATTTTTGATGATGCCATTTTAGTTATCAAGAAAAGTTTGAATGTGTCCTTTACACTTCCATAATCACAATTATATAGGCTAGCAAAATAATTACGAGTTTGTTTGACTTAACACAGAATAAATATATTAAAATTAAATTGTTATTTTTTAATATAGCAACGAATCGTTTTTTTTAAAAAAAAAATTGATTAAAAAAAGTTTGATATAAATCGAGATGAATCGAAGTATAAACTAAACATGGAGAAGCTTTTAATTGTTTGGAGTTTCACACGACACATATGGAGGTGTCTAGACCTTTTTTGACAATTCTTTAATTAGAGCATCTCATTAATTCGTGATAATAATAACAATTTAGTGAATCTTATTGATCTTACCTTTAATTTAATGGGGTTGTGATCAAGAAGAATATTTTTTATATTATTTCTAGTAATTATTTAAACAATAAGAACAAAAAAGATTATTTTGTGCTTATTTGTTATCACAAGAAAAAGATGCTATTTTCTTCCCTCAAAGTTGGCATAGTGGCGCTTTATTTTAATGAATATAAGCGGAATATATGAGTTGGACAAAAATATTAGTTTTAGCTCAAATTCAATATATAAAATCAAATTCATAAGCATTCATAATGTTGATATTTCGAAATTCAAAACTCTTGAGATTTAAATTTTATACCTAATCTGATTCATATCCTTAATAGTACTAAAATAAGGATCATAACAATATCAATAGCCTATAAGTTACGAAAATTTAATTCATGTAAAGCTAGGACTAAACAATTAAAAGATAATACAATATTTTATTGTAAAAAAAATCTTTTACTCAAAGTAAGAAAAGTCACAACTTGCAAAATGTATAATTTCAGCAATCATTTTCCACTAACTTCAAAGAAAGGTTTTAGATTAAATTTTATAGTTTAAAGGACTAATTTCAGCACAATTAATTATATTTGTTATTGCTACTTTCAAGAAGTCAACCATGTTTGTTACATACTTCACCACATGCATAACTATTCACTTCAAATTAGGAATTATTACACTTAATAAATAACCCTAGAACTTATATTATCATGTTCACATTTCGATCGTGAATATTTTATCGTTCTTTTGATATTTAACATGATAAATATATAGATATAGAATGATTTTTTTTTATAAAATATAAATTCTAGGTTAAATTTTAAACTTAAAATATAAAATTATGATATAAAATTCTCTGTTATATAGTGTATTAAATATCAAAATATTTTATCAAAATTTATAGATCTTAGAGATTATATTTCTATAAAAATTGTTAATCATTATATTATATTAGATGGTTATTGTATTCTGACTAAAATATCATTAAGAATTCATCTGATACGAATGATAAGAAGTAATGAATCTCGGGATTAATTTTTTAATAAAGTTATTCCATAATAGTTGAGATAAATTACAAAAATAACTAAATCACAAAATCAATTATCTTAAAATTGTAATTATCAGTTTTATTTATCGTTGAGAATGGAGTAAATAATCTCCAAATAACAAACAAATAAGCCCTTAAAGTACAAGATACCCTTCAGATACAAAAACATCATACATTTTTATTTAGTTTTTTCACATTTTTCTATTCACATTTTGCCCATATTTTTCAGTCCACACTTTACACAAATAACCTTAACAATATGCACATATAATATATGATATGCACATATAATATATGATATTGTCCTATCAAACGTATTTAGAACATGTTACACTTTTCTTCAATGTGACACAACACGTTCTAAGAGTATTTTGCGGAATTAGCAATCTTTATAAGATTTTATATATATATATATATATATATATATATATATATATATATATATATATATATATATATATATATAATTGTATTGGAATTCGGAACTAATCTTATATAGGTTTTATATGGTAATTTTGTGTTATACGTTATGTATATTATATGTCACGTATGATACGTGTGTCTTCTTTTCAATTTTAAATAAATGTAAGTGTCTATTTATTTACGCTCAATGTCGGAGGGCATGAATGCTAGCTGAAGTCAAGTTAAATGACATATTTATGTATTATATATTATTTTTAGGGAAACTTACATAAATATACTACAAATAAACAATATTTACCATGTATAGCAATAATATTTTTTTCATTGTATCACTTTTAATACATTTATAATACACTTTTAATTCATATTACAAAAAAATAATTTATTATTCACATATAATACAAGTTTTATTGATGGATAATATATTTATCACACATTTTAATACACTTATAATACAATGTGTCAACTTCTTAACAAACAAGCATAATATATTTTTAAAAATAGTTATGACACAAATGTATTGTATAAATAATTCACTTTTAATACATATTGCAAATTTAACACAGTATTGATATAAATGGTAATAAATAAAAAAATTATCGCTAAAATCAGTCATTATTTATTAAAAGACATTCATCCAAGTAATTTTTCCTACATTATATGTGCATATTGTTGGGTTACATTACTTATGTAAAGTGTGAACTAAAAAATGTGGGCGAAATGTGAACAGAAAAATATGAAAAAACTAAAGGAAAAATGCACAAGTATCCTCTCAACCTAAGCCCGAAATTCTAAAGACACTTATACTATACTGAGGTCCTATTTCCCCTTGAATTTATTTTATAAGTAATTTTCTATCCCTTTTCGACCTAAGTGGCAGTAGCTTGAAAAAAAATCAATCAGCGTTGGGCCCACAAGATAGTGCCACATAGGCCAAAAAGGGGTACAAAATTATTAATAAAATAAGTTCAGGGGAGTAATAGAACCTTAGTATAATATAAGTGTGTCTTTGAAATTTCGGTCATAGGTTGAGGGGGTACTTATGCATTATCCCAAAACTAAATAAAAACGTATGGTGTTTTTGTATCTGAAGGGTATGTTGTACTTTAAGGGCTTATTTGTTTGTTATTCGGAGATTATTTATTGGGACAATTGTATATAATAGCAAATTGGAGTGGCTACTGTTTGATTTAATTGTGCTCCATAACAAACGTTTGCCAAAGTTTGCTAGTCCCCTCTCTTCCAAAACACTCTCTCGCCACTCTCTCATTCTCGCTCGCCACTCTCCCTCTGCTCTTATACAACAGAAATGTATAATTGTATTTCTGTTTTGTATAAAGCGAGAGAAAATTGTATATACACATGCAAAAACATATATCTTCGTGCTATACACTTAATTATACAATTTACAAACATTTTACTTCGATTCAATTGTATACAAATGCAAATTTTATAAAAATATTGCAGCGAAAAAGGCCAGTGAATCATATAATTGCAGTGAAATACAATTTTCTCTCGCTTTATACAACAGAAGTGTATAAATTGTGTTTCTGTTTTTGAATAAAGCGAGATAAAAACATATATCTTCTTCCTATACACTTATAATTATACAATATACAAACATTTTACTTCGATTTAATTGTATGCAAAGCAAATTTTATACACATATTGCAACGAAATAGGCTAGCGAATTATACAATTGCAGTGAAATAGGCCAGAGAATTATATAATTGCAGCGAAATAGGCCAGCGAATTATATAATTTAGGCCAGTGAATCATACAATTGTATATATATATAGCGAGACCAGCGAGTTATACAATTTAGGCCAGAGAATTATACAATTGTATATGTATAGCGAATTATATAGTTATATGTTTGCTATATAGCAAAATTATGCAAACTTTGCTATAAACATACAAATATAAATTTTTTGTTTACTATATATGAAAATTGCCCTTATTTATTTCATCCTCAACAATAAATAAAAATATATTAAAATTTTAGGATAATTGATTTTGTGATTAGTTATTTTGTAATTTTATCTCAACTATTATGAAATAACTTCATTCAAAAATTAATCTCAAGATCTATTATTTCTTATCATTCTAACCAAACGAGTCCTTTATGATAACATAGTCAGAATATAACAATCATCTAACTACAACAATTAAGCTTAACAACCGTCTTTATAACAAATTAAACATGCTATTTATAAAAGGACAATTTTCACATATAGCAAATAAGAAATTCATATTTGTATGATATAGCAAAGTTTGCATAATTGCGCTCCATAGAAACATAGAAACTGTATAATTCGCAATACATATACAGTTGAAGCAAATTGTATAAAACGAAATGTATAAAACAAGAAAGAGAAAGACATTTGGGAAGAGAACTATATAAAAACGAAGTGTATATAACGAATTGTATTATTATAAGTGTATAGAACGATTATATACAATTTGAAATTGTATAAAATGAGAAAGAGAGAAATACAAAAGAGACTTGACAAGGAATATACATTGAATCGAATTGTATAAAATGAGAAAGAGAGAAGTTAGATACAATTTGAAAATTGTATAAAACGAGAAAGAGAGAAAGGCAAAGGAAACCGGGCAGGGGAGTATTTTTATTGTATAATTATAAGTGTATAGGACGAAAATATATGTACTTGCATGTGTATATACAATTTTCTTACGCTTTATACAAACAGAAACACAATTTATACATTTCGCTTCTGTTTGTATAAATGAGAAAGGCGAGGGTGGCGAGCAAGATTTGGGAGAGTGGAGAGCGAGATCTGGAAGAGGGGAGAGAGGGGAACAAAAATATATGTATTTATACAATTTCTCTGTTGTATACAATTAGAAATAATTTTTATACACTTGTGTTTGTATAAAAAGTGAGGAAGCGATCGAGAGATTGGAGGAGAGTGGCGAGTGAGATATTTGGGAGAGAGGCGCCTGGCAAGTTTTTGCAGACGTTTGCTATGAAACGCAATTAAATCAAACCCTAGCTACTCCATTTATTATAGGTTATTAGTTTGCTATTATATACAATTTTCCTTTTATAAAATTATACCGATATATATATGACAACTATAATATATAATAATAATAATAATTTATATAGAAATATAATCTCTAAGATTATCAATAATAGATCTACAAATTTTGACCAA